AAGTACTTTAAACTGTATAAATAATGTATCTGGCAATTGATTAGGATCGACCAATCACGTGAAAGTCCTCCTATGAGTTCACAGTAATAACAGGATAAATATGAGATTTAAGCTTTTAAATCTCGATCATGTTTTTGGTGAAACCAGATTAACCTCTAATCAAGACTCCGTTTGTTGTAACATTAATCTTTCGTAGTTTTAAAAAATGGCTCATGCTAAATTGGATTTTGATGATGAGGCGGCTTCCCCATTAATATTAAAAGACTTTGTACACAATGAACAAGAAGAACTTGCAGAAGAAGTATTTTTCGAAGAACTTTCAACACAATTAGCAGAAAATCCAAAGGCAATGGCTGCTTTAACAGAACAATATATGAAAGGTGTCAAATCTGATTCAACTGATCTTGAGAGTATACAATTAATTCCGGAGCCCGGATTTGTAGTAAAATCTCGTATAACGGCATCAAACAACAAAAAACATAAAGTTGGTTCGAAATTTTTTATTAATGTTTGTTACTCAAATAAAGTACCCCGTCCACCATCAGGTTCTAGTGAAACTGAAATACGAAAAGCAATGAATGGAGAAGAGGATTCAAAATATTATGTTCCAACCGTTATTAGTAATTTACAAGAAGATGAAGATAAAGGTATATTCTTTTATCAGAAAGTAAATTCTTATTACAATATTTTAACTGATTTGATGTATCAAATATATTAGAAAAGAATCTGTGTTATGATTGTGATGCTATAATTCATCCACAGCCGTATAAAAGAACAGAAGATCCTGATTTTAGATTATATATATGTGAATTGGCAGTGGAAATGATTGAGGAACAATTTAGTATAGAATTGGGTCGCCGTACGTTTCAATTTCCACATTTTTCGTCTTTTGATGTTTATTAGCAGTAAATCCGGAAGAATTAATCTATGTATATAATTCAGCATTTGCATATCCAAAATTGAGTTACAAGGGCGATAGAAAAGTGAGACCAGTTATGATTCCGAAAGAAAAGAAGTCTTTAATAACTGAAATTCCCACGAAGCTTAACAAGCAAGCGATAGTTGAAGATAACGAAAAACAAACTAAAAATGATAAAGCTCCAGTTCAACCTAAATATACAGTTACAGAAGGACTTAAAGATAATAAATCATACTTGATCATATCTATTGAAACACCTTCTATGGTAAGCGATTATACCAAAGTAATAACAAAAAATTATATTAAACTCTAATAAACATTTCTTAATTATATAGCAATCGGTTAAGGACAGCGCATTAGATTTAGAACCTATGCGTTTAACTTTTAACTCACCCAATGTGTATGATTTGGACATTCCTTTACCTTCAATTGTGAATATCATATCTGCGAAAGCAAGATTTATAAAGAATAAGAAAAAATTGGTTATCAAATTAGAGAAAGTCGGTTCATGATATTTTTTTTTATTCATGAATAAAATTATTAGTAATTTTTGAAAATGCCCCGGTGCATTTTCCGATCTACCGGCAATTTTCGCCATTAAAGATAATCCGTTAAAGCGTTTTTTTTTTCACACACATACTCCGCTTATAAGTATTTTGTTCTGTTGCTTATGGCTGAAACTTCTAAATCTCCTCCATACTCTTTTTTTGATATAGTTGATAAATGTGATACTTATCCCTATCCCGATAGCGCAAGTTCTGAAACGTTAAATAACAATATTCCGTTTCTTCTGGATAATGATATCAAAGTCGGTCTTCTTCTCCCTTCAACTGTTAAGGTATTGACAGAATATAATAATCGTTTAAAAAAACCAAAGCCATTTATTATAGAGAATAAATTCGTCAAATTTGCTTCCCATTTAAATACGTTCGAATTAAGAACAGAAGTTGTTAAAAAACTCTTTGATAAATGGAGGGAGGAGAAGACCTTTCCAGCTCTATCAGGTACTTTGAAGTTAAATATGCATGAACCACTGAAATTTATTTCATTATCCTCCTTAAAGAATGAATAATTTAGGTTGGCGTGATGAGTTATATCCTATATACGGTGATCCAAATAATCCATCAGGCGTTGCATTTGTCATGGAACGTTGTGCGACTCCATTATTTGGTGTGTTGACTTTTGGAGTTCATTTGAATGGATTCATTCGGACTGATCAAGGTGAACTAAAAATGTGGGTGGCAAAACGCGCAAAGACGAAACCCACTTGGCCCGGATGGTTGGATAATACCGTAGCAGGTGGAATTCCACATACGTTAAGTGTAACAGAATCAGTCATTAAAGAATCAATGGAAGAAGCTAGTTTACCTGCAAAAGTCGCAGAAAAAGCTCTTCCTACAGGTGCGATTTCTTATTTTATAGAAACACAATATGGATTACAACCTGAAGTTCAGTAAGTTCCTTAATAATAAATAAAGATAATTATAAATTCTTTGGTGAGATAATTTTTTTCATTTATGTTTGGGACAGGTATGTTTATGATCTTGAACTCCCTCTTGATGCGGAACCAAAGCCTTTAGATGACGAAGTCGAATGCTTTTATTTATGGGATATGGATGAGGTATTCTTTTATTTTCTTTTTCTTTTTTTTTTTTTTTAAAAAAAAATAAAAATAAAATAAAAAAACAAAAAGAATATAATAAATAAATTGTTTAATATCTAAACATGAAATTTGGTTTGATTTCAGCTTATCAAAAATATTAAAGCGGGTGAATTCAAACCCAATTGCGCGTTAGGTAGTATTTTATTTAAATTTTTTTTTTTGATTTCAAGATGCTATCTTTAATTTATATCTATATTACCTTTTTTTTTAAAAAAAAAAAACAGTTGTAATCGACTTTCTGATTCGACATTCGATTATTAATCCGGATAATGAACCTAATTATATGGGTATTTTAAGTAGAATTCATAGGCGCCTCAATCTCCCAGGACCTTCTTTAATGATTATATAAATGTAATTCATATTAAATTAAAATTTTTTGATATATATGGATATTTTTTGATTATCTGTAAATAAATTATTGTCACGTGATTGCCTAATTTTTAATTGAGTTATTCATGTATTTTTTTCGTATCACATCACATCTTAAAAGATGAGTGACAAACCAAATTCAGACATTCACCGAAAGTTTAAAGAAAAGGGAATTTCGAAATTTTTAGAACCTTGTCATGAAGAAAGTATAAATTCAATGAAATGTTTGGATAAATACAATTACGATAAAGGACAATGTAAAGATTTATTCGTCTTGTATCGTGAATGTAAAAAAAAATGGGTAAATTTTTTTTTAAATATAAGTATTTATTTTATTTACATACGTTATTTATATAATTTTTTCTTCATAGTTGGAAGAACGTCGAGAATTACGAAGAAAAGGATCATTATAGAGTTATTCTTTATCAAAAAAATATATTCAGGAATATTTTTAACAAAATTTCAAGGAATTTTTTATTTATTAAAAAATTTATAACGACAACAATGTGCTATTTATTATAAATACGAATATAAATAATAACATTTTCAAAGTTTATTATTATGCTTTGAAATAAAGAAATGAATTTATTCTATCTTAAAAAATTTTGTTAACAATACAATCCAGCGCGGAATTACCTTCATGCTTCAGACCAAATGTGGTTCTGTGGATAATTGGTTAATGTATAATGAATTTCTTCGTGTTGATAAATCTTTTAAATACCTGTAAAGCTTTAATCATCGTAATATCTACGTCCTTTATCGATTCTGTCCCGACGATATTCTTTACTATTTCTCCTACGTCCATAATCTTCATGGTCCCGATCTTGGTCTTTTTCATCCCGTCGGTCTTTATGTTTTTCCCTACGATTATTGCGAGGATATGGTTCGTGTCTACCATGTGGATCTCGACGAAAATCTCCTCGAAGTGGTTGTACATCCCGGGAAGTAAATGCTCGCAATTGCTGAATTCCGGCTTATCAATGAGATTGACAGAAACAAAAAAAAAAACAAAAAACAAAAAATGAATATTATTGATTTCCTTACCTTCCATTCATGCAGAGTTTCACGAATCTGCTTATAACCTGTATGCTGCTTTCCTTGTAAATGAGCATCCATACGATTGGATGTGTCATTCGTAACCAAAAAAGCTCCACATACTTCACAAACTAACATCCTTCTCTCTTGTTTAAATAATGGATTTGAATCATCGCTCTATTTTATTTAAATCAGAAAGGAGGGACCGGAGAATTGGTTTTCATGGAATTGATTTGAAATGAAAAAGGTTAGTGAATAGGGGGAAAACAAAAATACCGATTTTATATGTCTCTCCTGGATATAACTTTCACTGTGAAATCATAGTTGAAGCTAATCGGAAATAGCTTTCAGATCAAAAAAAAAAAAAAAGTAAAGTAAAATATTGTTTGCGTATTACTCCAATGAAGGTGAAAAAAGCTGATGGAAAAGTTAGCTTTTTTTGGCATTCTCATAAGAACGTCATTTCATAAACCACATGCTATACGATAGAGTTACCTCAGGATATCAAGTCTCTTTGTTCCATGTAAGATTTCTCATTCCTCGTTTGTCCTGTAGAATATGCTGATATCAACTCATTATACTCACGTTTTTTAAAAAATCCAAGTCTTTTTGAAGTGATTCTACGTCTTTGGTTAAAATCTGAGCTTCTTGTACGCGTCCTTCCTCTCCCGCTTCCTCAATCTTGATATAAAATTAATAGTTTAATATCAATGTGATTTATAATGATCGACTCGCTCACTTTGAATAATCTTATTATTACCTTCACCAATAAATCTTTGATCTTTTCGTCTAATATGATCATTTTTTCTTCTTTTTCATCTTTGTTTGGATTCAAGAGCTAATTTCATATTATATAATCATTTGATGAGAAAATAAATCAATGGTAAAAGGATGAAAACATATAATTAGAACATACTGTATCATCAGGACGAACGTTTAATCGATCATTTCCTTTCCGAATTTTTTTGTCCAAGTCATTACACAATGATTGCAAATAATCGTAAAATTTAATTTCATAATCATATTTTTCACGATCTAATGCTTCTTGATACCTAAGGAAGTACCGAAATGATGAGAAACCTTGAAAATGGTCAATGAACTTTACAAATATAAACACGTACTGTTTTCTTAACTTTTCATCGTGAAGTTTTGTACAGGGTCCTATATTTATTTATAAAAGTAAAACAGATAGAAGTTGAATCTCAATGAATCTCTGTGCTCAAAAAGAAAGAATACCATACCAAGGTCAGACTTTGTGTTGGTGAAGAGAGAATTGGGACAAAATTTGACTAAAAAGTGCTTGCAGACAGCATCATCCCAGAAGTTATGTTTATTAGAAGTCTCAAAAGGAGCCATCAACTCCTCAAGTAATTGACGTTGATAATCCATGAATAGTGGCGTTTCCGAATTGAGAGAAGTTTTAGTATAAGAGCATCCACAATTTTTCGAGCTTATTGTTTATATTTACCCCGTGATTGTAGAAACTGCGGAATCTCATGCATGAGATTATATAATTTTAAAAACAATTTGATCCAAATTTTTTATTTTTCGATTTTTTTTATTTTTTTTTTTTACGTTATTTTCAAGTTTGAATTGCAACAAAATAACTTAAAATGGCATTTCGAAATATGGTCAACGGAGCTGAATGCTCCGTAGGTTCTAACCCAATCTCTCAAATAATGAAACAAATCACCGAAGAACGTTCGTTGCAAAATGTGCGGTAAATTTCATTTTATAATATATATTACGAATTCAACAATTAGATTCTAATTTGCATATTGCGAATTAGGACACATTCGTACCTAGCACAGAAAGAGTTGGTCCCAGTTCGGTAAGTTTTAGACAATTTTCTTCGTCATATTATGTAAGTTGCTTATTTGATTTGATTTGATTTGTTATTGTTAAATATAGTTTCGCACAGCTAGACCCGATGTTATTTCTCAAGAAAATAAGGTACATCATAAAAAATTGCTTGTTGATTTATTTAGAGAAATAGTTGAATCACTTAGAAAATTATTTTAATATTCGCGTATTTCGCGAAATTTTTTTTTAAAAAAAAGTTCACCGATGACTTTTTTAATCAGCAAGAACACGAACATTTACGTTTACAGGGTCCTATAGCAACAAGTATTCCCGATTTTGTAACATCAGAACAAGGTACTTTGACAACCAATTTCTTTTAAATGTTATTCAATTCACTTCGGATCTGATTTATAGCAAATTTTAGAATGGGCAACGGAATTCAATAATCAATCAGATCATTCGCAATTATGGAAACTTGGTCCTGCTGAAGAAACAGAAATGGAAGAAGCATTTAAAAGGATGAATGTTCAAAGTACAGTATTAGTAATTTTTGCTGAAGTACGTTATTCAAAATGACTTGAACATTCATTAATTTATCATCGTATATTTCTTTCTTAGCGAAGTGGAATCATGAATATCTACACGGGCAAGACTTTTCGGTTAGTCAAGTTACTGAAATGCCACCAGAATTTGAAGAGGTATTTCAAAAGAATTTTGATTGGGCTAGTGAATATGTATTAAAACAAGATAAAGGAAAAGGCAAGGAAAAAATAGTAGAATTAGATCATCTTTCTTGGGAAGAACAATTCGCTGCTGTACAACGTGAGGCAGAAAGTGAAAGTATAGATGACGAATTAATTAAGGAATTCGAAAATGTTTGGTCGAAATCAAGTCTTCGAGATGGTGATGAATATATAGACCCTAAAAATTGGGAAAGCAATTTAATGAAGCGGTTTGCAAATCTTGGTGATTATACATTTGAACATAATAATCCTTATATAGAGCACGAAGATCCTTTTCAAGAAGGATTAAGATTAATGGAAGAGGGTGGTTCGTTATCTGAAGCTGCTTTGGCATTCGAAGCTGCAGTTCAAAAAGATGGAAATATATCAGATGCATGGATGTGGCTGGGTAATACTCAGGCTCAAAATGAAAAAGAGGAAGCAGCTATTAGAGCATTACAGAAAGCTGTGGAGGTTGATGGCAATAACCTAACTGCCTTAATGGTAAGTTATATTTTGGTGATTATTTGGTTATTACATGATAAATTTTGCTTTATACAACGCTTCTCCCCTTTTTAAAAGAGTCTCGCAGTAAGTTACACAAATGAAGGTTATGATAATCAAGCTTATCTTACTCTTGAACGATGGATAACCGCAAAATATCCCGATATTGTGATATCTAATGCACCAATGCATGGAATGAGTACACACACACGTGTAACGGATCTTTTTTTGCAAGCAGCTCGTAGCGCACCAGAAGGTCAGGAGATGGATCCTGACGTGCAAGTTGGATTAGGCGTTTTATTTTATGGCAGCTGTGATTATGAAAAGGCAGTAGATTGCTTTGTTGCAGCTTTAAATACAAGAAAGGACGTAAGTAATTCACAGCTTTTTAGGTTTTATGTTAAATTTAAGAATTAAACCGAATCGTATGATTCGTAGGATTATCTTTTATGGAACCGTTTAGGAGCCACTTTAGCGAATTCAGGACGCCCTGAAGACGCGATTGAGGCTTATCATAAAGCCTTAGATTTTAAACCAACGTTTGTACGTGCAAGATATAATTTAGGTGTTAGTTGTCTAAATATAGGATGCTATAGTGAAGCAGCTGAACATTTACTTGGTGCATTGAGTATGCATCAAACTGGTTTGAATAGTGATGGAGGAGTTAATACCAGTAATAGTCTTCGAGAAACTCTCCATAGGACATTTTTGATGATGGTATTTATTTAAAATAGCAATAATATTTTTTTTGAGATTATTATTGTTAACTCGACTTGCTGATTTATTGTTTAATATTGTTAGGAGCGAGACGATTTGGCGGAAAAAATACTTTCTGGAGCTGATGTAAATCAATTCCGTGAAGAGTTTGAATTTTAGTAAGAATTTTAACTTTGTTATAGAATAATTCTTTATTTTATTTTATTTATTTTTTGTAATCTATAATTTGAATTTTTTATTTTTGAAATGTGTAAAAAAACCAAATACCTTTTATATTATGAATCACCATAAAATAAATTAATATTTATAAATCATGCCATAAATATAGTTGATTTCGCTTCAATTTAAACATATTTCTTAAAATTTTTTTTTCTTTATGTTTGTTATTAATATTTTGAAACATCATTATCGCTTTCATTAAAAACTTATTATTGCTTTTCCCTTTTCTAATTTTAATATTATCATTATATATTTTATTATCATAATTATCTTATAAGCATATTAACAAATATTTTCTTTTAGCTAATTGGATTAGTTATAAAAAATAAAATCATAGCTCAGTAAATTTAAACTTAAAAATTTTGTCTTTTATTAAATTTATAAACTAAATTTTATTATTAAAAAAATATCAAAGAAAATTTAATTAATATCAATTTAAATCAATATAAATAAAAATTTATTTTAAAAAAAAATTGTTATAAATATATATAATTCATATTTAATTAATTATGATTTTTAATAAAAATTTTAAAAAATATTAAATCTTCAGAATCAATAAAAATATTATTAAAAATGTTTTTAAAATTATTTAAATTTAAAGCTTATAAATAAGTTTTTATATTATTAAAAGTATAGTTTTATAATAAATAATAAAGCTTTTAAAATATTTTATTATATAACTTAAAATTTATAAAACCTTTTTTAAAATTTTAAATTAACTTTTTTTCAAATCTGAAATTAATAAATTTTATTTAGTTAGAAAAATCTAGTTATGTAAAAATATTTATTATAAATAAATAGTTTAATGTCAAATATATTGAAATTCAAAATTGTTTAATTTAACTTTTTATAATAAAAATTTTTAAAAAAGTTTTTTTTATAAAAAGTAAAAGTTAAACATTTTTATTGATTTTTATATTATTCAAACAGTTAAAAGTATTTAAAATTACAAATATTACTGTATTTAAAATTAATTTATTTATAAATAAAATAATATTATTAAAATTTTTAAAAATTGTTTTTTTTAATAAAAATTATAATTAAGCAAATTTATTAACTTTAGAAAGTTAAAAATAATAAAAAAAGTTTATTAAAATGATTAATATTAAAGTAAATATTAGACTATTAATAATTTTCAAATATAATTAATCACATTTAATTATAATTATTTTATTATAAAATATTTTTATTAGCAGATTAAATCTTATGTAATTAACTATAACTTAAAAATATTTTTAAATAATTGTAAAAAAAAGAATTTTAATATAATTTTAAAAAAAAAAATTTGAAAGTATAAAATTTATATAAATTATTTATTATAATTATTTCTTAAATTGTAAGAATTTACTAACAAATTTACCTGCTTATTTACTATAAATTTTTATTTGATTTACTTTTATAAATAATTAAAATTTTTTAAATTAATTTTATAAATATATAATATATTATAATAAGTTTTACTTTTTAATTATATATTAAAAAATTTAAGGTTACTTATTATCCCTTAGATTGTAGAGTTTTGCTGACAAATTTACCTGCTTATTTACTATAAATTTTTCTCTGATTTACTTTTATAAATAATTAATATTTTTAAAAATTTTTTTTTAAATTAATTTTATAAATAAATGGGAGGCGGTCAGTAAAAAAGGGGGAAATCTAATTTTGATCAAAATTTATATTATTAGATCATATAGCTAATCTTGATTATGTACACAAATTTGGCTTAATAATAAAAATTAACAAAAATTTTGGATTTCACCCTTTTTTTACTGACCGCCTCCTATATAATAATATATTATAACAAATATTATCTTTTAATTATATAATAAAAATTTGATGTTTACTTAGAAGTTAAAAATTTGTAATTCCTAAAAAAAATTATATTAAAAATTTTTATGATTAATATATAATAAACTTTTTAGAATTTACTTTTAACTATATTAATCATAATAAAATATTATAAAATTATTTATAAAAAAAAACTTTTATTATAATTTTTATAATTTATTAAAAAATTTCATGACTTTAATTAATTATAAAAATTATAAAGTGATTCAATTAGTATGCAAATATATAAATTTTTAAAAATTATTATAAATTTTTTGAAACTTTATTTAAAATTAAATTATTTTAAAAACCTTTAAAAAAACTTAAAATCTTTATTAATAAAGTTAATAAAAAATATATTAAACTATATTTTTTATATAGTAATAATATTACTAAAATTAATATTTAATATTTTATAAAAAAATTACCATTTTTTTTAATTATGCTAGAAATAAATAATTTTAAAAAAAATTTAAAATAAAAAATTTTATATTTAATCTATAAAAATCTTTTTAAAATTTATTTTTAGCTATATTAATTACAATATAATATTATAAAATTACTTATAAAGAAAAACTTTTATTATTATAATTAAAT